CTTCCTTCTAGCTGTTACATACTTTTGCACGAATCTAGTATACCCTTTTACTCTACGAGTAACGGGTTTAATAAATTTATTTGGAAAGCAGAACATAAACAGATACGGAAACAAATTATTTCTATACTTACCGATGAACCAGTCCTTGTTATTTTTGACCCAAATTATCCCATTGAATTACATACAGATGCAAGTGCAAGTGGTTACGGTGCAATTTTATTACACCAAATTAAGAACAAACCACAGGTAATAGAATATTATAGCAAAACGACTTCACCTGCAGAGTCCAGATATCACTCGGATGAGTTAGAAACTTTAGCGGTGGTAAACTCCATTAAACATTTTCGACATTATTTGCTGGGCAGGAACTTACTGTTTATAGTATCACTATGGACGGCAGTCCATGTAGTGACGAAGCGCACCAGGAGAGTGTGGGAAGGCGACTACTATTATATAGCCGCAAAATTGAAAATCTGCTGTGATAGTCCGATCGTAATGAGTAATACACCAATCGAAAGGTATTGCAAAAACTTAAAGGATTACATTCCAAGACCTCAAGAAAATTAATTGGTTTGGGAGAGAGAGAGGTGAAAGTGAAAAAGTGAAAATTTCGAATTTTGGAGCTGTTGGGGCCGGTGGGGATAAAAGCCCCCTCGCAATGTTTTAGTTGTATTCCTATTGAAAATATCCGTCGAATGAGGGGTAATAAATCCGACGCTCCGTTCAAAAGTTATAGCCAAAATAAGATTTTCTTCTTCTTCCCAAAATGAAAATTTAATTCTGTTTGTCAGTTTGTCCAAAATATGTTTTTTAAGTTCTGAAAATTTGATATAACGTCCATCACATCGATATAAAAAACTTTTGTTGTACCACTTTTGGAAAAACCCGCTAGTTTAGCGGGAAAACAGCTATAAATAGCTAAAATTCGGAAAGCCGTAACTTCTATACTACTAAAGCAACAGACTTGTGTTGCATCTCGTTTGAAAGGTATTTTTAAATGCTATAAATGCCTTCTATATACAATTTGTGTAAATGTAATAGTTAAAAAGATATGAACAAAAGAAAATTTGTTTAAACTTTTTTTTTAGCTTTCTTTTAATTTTCTCAAAAACGGCTCATACGTTTTTCCTTACAACTTTAAACTGTATAGCCCTTGAGATTCCTTAAATTTTGGTATATATCATGTTTATGTAAAAAATCGCTTTTAAAAGTTATTCAGAAACGAAAATAGCCACTTTTGCCAGCTCAGAACAACTAACGCTTCCTGAGTGTTTAATTTTGTGCGTGGGTATCCAAACTGTATTTTAGGCTCATAGAATCATTTCAATTGTTTTAAGGAGTTCCAAATAGGAAACTTTTGTTTTACGACTTTTGGAAAAACCCTCTGCTTTAGCGGAAAAAAAGCTAGAAATAGCTAAATTTCGTTAGTTTGTAAGTTCTACACTACTGAAGCTACAGACATGTGCTATACCTCGTTTAAAAGGTATTTTGAAATACTTAAACGCCTTTTTAACTTAATTTGTTTAAATACAATGGTTTACAAATTATGATTGACCAATTTAAATTTAAATGTATATACTAGCTCCTATGATAGCAAATATAAACAAACAAAAACTTCTGATATCAAATAAAAACACCTCTTAACGAGGTAAAAAACTAGTGACGATCGCACCTTCAACATACAAAAGTTCTGATATCAACATTTGTGACGAAAAATTATTACACTCGTCATTAAATACACTTTCTAAGATTTTCCCATTCGGCACGCTGCAATAGAAAATGCCTATGAAGGTAAAAAGGCTAAAATAGTATGCTAGGGCGGGCCGAATGAGAAAATATTAGAAAGTGTATTTAATGACGAGTGTAATAATTTTTCGTCACAAATGTTGATATCAGAACTTTTGTATGTTGAAGGTGCGATCGTCACTATTTTTTTTACCTCGTTAAGAGGTGTTTTTATTTGATAAACTTTATACCGACTGTATACCTAGAGCAGAGCGTTTGTGGGCTTTCTTACAGTAATTTACATTCGATATTCAGTATAGAGCAGCGAAAAGAATGTTGACATGTTGACTTTTTGTCGAGAAATCCAATCTCAAACGTAGTTAATGAGAAAAGAGTTAACTTGGCCGAAATTTCAAGTAATTGGCTCATTGCTGAACAGCGTCGAGACTCAGACATAGCCGAAATCGTGACTAAATTAAAAGATTTTTCTCTTGATGAAGATTTTGCGAAATCATATGAAATAAGGGCAGAGGGGCTTCACCGAAAAATACAGAGGAATGGCAGAACCCGCTGTTTACCTGTGGTGCCCCGTGCTTTCAGATGGTCCGTTATAAACCAAGTTCATGATCGAATGCATTTATGCATAATGCATTTAGGTTTCGAAAAGACACTTGACAAAGTTTACGATATTTACTGGTTTGACAATATGTCAAAATACATCAACAAATTTGTTCACAACTGCATCTCTTGCAAAATGTCTAAATCAAACTTAGGAAAAATTCGGGCTGAACTGCATCCCATCCCAAAAGTAAATATTCCTTGGCACACAATCCATATCGACATAACAGGGAAATTAAGCGGCAAGAGTGACCAGAAGGAGTATGTTATTGTTCAAGTTGACGCGTTTACCAAGTATGTCTATCTTAGTCACCCCTTAAATTGGACAGTGAGAGTTGCATAAAGGCTGTCAAGTCCGCTGTTTCGTTGTTTGGAGTACCAAGCCGAATAATAGCTGACCAGGGAAGGTGTTTTACTGGATCAAAGTTTAGTGAATTTTGTTCAGATCACAAAATAAACTTGCACTTGATTGCCACCGGCGCAAGTCGCGCTAATGGTCAAGTGGAACGAACAATGAGCACGTTGAAAAATATGTTAACGGCGGCTGAAACTGGAACACAGTCTTGGCAGGATGTGCTAGGAGAGGTGCAACTGGCTATCCATTATTTGGAATTTGACCACTTTTTTTGGCCAATATTAAAAACTCCCCCAATTTTAAAGATATCAAAGTAAAACTTTAGAAATCGTTATTATTTATCAGAACGCATATTCTGCATGAATATCTTTCGGATTAGACAACTATATCATATAGCTGCCATAGGAATGATCAGATCAACTTTGCTATTTTTAGAGATAAATGCATAAAACTTGAAGAGTACCGTTTTAATTAATTAAAACCACATACAAAATTTTGTTAAAATCGGAAGAATATTTCTTTTAGTTTCATAGAACCGAAAATTGTCAGAGCTTACTTGCCCTTTCTTTAATTTTTTGATGCAGTTATAGCTTTATTTTTCTTTTTACAACCTCTAAAGGCCGTTTTTATTGTCAAATGGTAGCTATAAGAGGTTTTGCCTTACTTTAGTAGACATTTCAAATTAAAGTCTATTGATATCTTTCTTCCACAGCACTATGAGCAAAAATTCAGCTTTTGAGGCATAAACTCCAGTTTTAAAGATAGAAATTTAAAACTTTTGTGATGTACTTTTAAGACTAAGGTGTAATTTGGGTTTTTTTGCTTTTTGAATCTAACCACATCTTCATCCTCCGCCCACGGCCAATATATACATTTTAAGGCAAGGATTTAAACAAAATGTTTGTTCGGTCAAACTCACAATATTTTTCGTCTTACATACTGTTTCTCTTTGCCTATGGCTCTTTCCACGTGAAACGTGACAGGCCAATTTGGGTCAAATCTCAGAATCAATCGAAACTTTTTTTTTCGATAGAGGATTGAAATATAATTTTCGTTTCTTACACGTTGCGCTGTTGTTGCTCGATGCAAAGTTGCCAAACTAAAATCGTTGTCTTTACTAGTAGGTCTTGCAAATACAAAAATTTTATTTTACCACTTCGTGAAGAATTGATGAAGCAATATGAGGATAATTTTTTTATTCGGAAACCGCGTGTATTCCGGCGTACAGAATTTTTTAAAATTTAAATTCTCTTAAAAAATACTTAATTTTAAAATTAAAAATTTTAAAAATTTTTTTTCTGAAAGACATGAACATATCCCACAAAGTTGCATACCAAATATTGAAATAACTCAAACGAGTCTCAAGTGATGCATAACTGAAAAATCGGAGCTTAATTAGAAAATTATTTTTTAAAAATAAACGGTAAGAGTTAAAAAAAAAAAATAAAAACCGATCCTTATATTTCAATCCTCTATCGAAAAAAAAGTTTCGATTGATTCTGAGATTTGACCCAAATTGGCCTGTCACGTTTCACGTGGAATGAGCCCTATACAAATGTAAACAAAGCTCATTAACATGTATTAACCAATCTCTGTAACTTACTCTGTTAGAACATTATGTTATTTTGCCGCTGCTAATAAAAGGCAGTTGCTGATGTTAGATCTTGGAAAACGGTTGTCTTTTTCTCGCCTGAGTTTTTAGATTGCAATTAGTTTATGCACCCCCCAACCTGATATCTTATGCAGCACAAAAGACGCTTTGTGCATTAAACATTTTGGCGCCCAACGCGGGGCAGTGTTTAAACAAATTATTAACAATTTATTAATTCATAAACAATTGTCGAACTATCGCCCGCAACAATTATTCGCTCGACCCGCTCATCGCAACTCAACATTGTCATAACCGCATACAAAGGTGAACATTCAACCCTAGTGCATTCATCGAAAGTGAATAATAAATAAACAAATAAAGTTATTAACTATTCACGAAAATTCTAAGGGGAACGTGTCGTTCGTATAACGGAACTATTCGCGCTCTTCTTCGCACATCTCTTCGCTTGTGTGTGTGTGCCCGCCCGCTCTATAAGCTCGGCGTCGATCGCTCATTCTCCTTTGCTCCGTTATTCCGCCAGCAAAGTGTTGTGGTTTTGTTTACATCGCCAACTGCAGCCGCTGGTACAGTTTTTGAGTTCTAGTCGCTTTCGCTTTGAACTAACTTCACGGCATTGCCACATTCGTCGCTCCGCGTTGTTGTTGCCGCAACTTTACTCTCGTTCTCGCATTCGCATTCTTCGTCGCCGCAATGGCAACGGTTATATTAGAGACTCTCAAACGGCAACGCTCGAATATTAAGCGCAACATTACGCGCATAAGAGGAATGGTCGATGCCAAGGAAGAAGAAAAGCAGAAATCGCCGGCTGAACTTCAGTGCCGTTTGGGAATCTTAGAGTCATATTTTAAGCAAGCCCTTTCGGTACAATCAGAAATTGAGACCATGGAATCCACAGATAGTGGACGTGCAGACCTGGAGGACAGTTACATAACTACAAAGTTGGCAATTCAGCAACTTCTTGGAGAGGATCTGCACAACACAGTTTTCGACCACATCTCTGCACCAAGCTACAGCGCGCCGTCTCGACTGCCAAGATTGGCACTACCTAGCTTCGATGGAAATCATAAGGATTACAAGAACTTCATCTCGTCGTTTCTGCAACTGGTCAATCGTGAGCAAATATCTAATATAGACAAATTTAATCATCTCCGTAATTGTTTAAAGGGACCTGCACTGGAAGCTGTCGCAGCCTTCCCGGTCACTAGAGAAAATTATGCGAAGGCGCTGGAACGGCTGAAGGACCGGTATGACAAGCCTGCCCTAATCTTTGTCGAAACGATAGCCTCGATTTTTAAACTGCCGCCGGCTGCTGCGGCAAGTGCTCAACAGCTCCGCAGCCTAATCGACAACGCATCCGCGTTATATAGTGCCCTTTTATCGCTAGGCTCGGACGCTCAAATTTCTGAGGCGATGCTCATTTACGTGGTCATGGAGAAGTGCGATCAACAGACCAAAACAAAATGGAACGAATCACTGGATTATCTCACTCTGCCATCCTGGAGCCAATGCACGCAGATACTTGAGCGCCACTGCCAGTTTCTTCTGTCTGACGAGCAATCCCATGGATCGGAGCGGCCAAGACCGACTCGTCCCCCCGCAAGATCTCACAATTCGTCGTTTTCGCTGACCAACGCACCATGTGTATACTGCCTCGCACCCTCACACAAATTGCTCGGATGTGACAAGTTTAAGGAGCTTAATCCAACCGCGCGATTTGATGTCGTTAAAACACACCGTCTGTGCTTAAACTGTCTGTGTAGAGGTCACCAACTGTCGAGCTGCCCATCGAGAAATCGCTGTCGCACCTGCAACAAGGCACATCATACCCTGTTGCACAACAACCATTCGCTAGATTCGTCTCACTCGCACCAACCGTATCCGACCGCACCGCCATTGGAAGCTGCAACACACTCGCACTCGTATTCTGGCCAGAAGTCTCAGGTGTTGCTTGCCACTGCTATGGTTCTCGTCAAGGATGCGCTTGGAACCTACTGGCCTGGAAGAGCTCTTCTCGACTCCTGCTCTCAAGTGAACTTCGTGACGGAAGACTTCGCACAACGGCTTCGCTTACGGAGGGAAAGACATGCAGTCCAAATTCGAAGCATCGGCCATTCGCAAACAGATATTAAATATTGCACAACTGCATCTGTCAAATCTCGCATTTCATCTTTCGTACTCTCCGCAGATCTCTGTATTATTCCACAAATCTCATACCAGCCCGATCCGGCCATCGACGTTTCGACTTGGAAGCTGCCAGAAAATACGCCGCTCGCTGATGAAAGATTCTACCAATCACGCCACGTCGATCTGCTACTGGGAACCGAAGCCTTCTTCGACGCCTTAACTGTAGGGCAAGAAAGGCTGGGACCTCAAGGCCCGCTGCTGCAGAAAACTAAGTTTGGCTGGGTCGTAACCGGCCGACTGCAGCAAACCGCGCCAATAGAAGTTTCCACTTGCATGGACTTAAACGCAAGTTCAATTGATGTCAACCTTAAACGTCTGAGGGAACTGGAAGCAGTCGACTCGCCACCTCTGCAGAAGCCGGAGCATGCTATTTGCGAGGAACAGTACGAGAAGACCACTTGTCTCGACAGCACTGGTAGGATTGTCGTCAAACTGCCATTCAAGGCTGACCGAACTCGGTTGGGAGACTCATTTGATATCGCTCGCCGTAGGTTCCTAAGCATGGAACGTCGCCTATCGAAATCTCCAGCACTTCGTCAACAATACTGCGACTTCATGGAGGAGTATGAGAAATTGGGGCACATGTCCCCAGTTATTCATCCTAAACTGCACGAGCCGCACTACTACATCCCGCATCACTGCGTCCTCAAACCCAGCAGTGAGTCTACTAAGCTTAGGGTGGTGTTTGACGCCTCTTGCCGGACGTCAAATCAATTATCACTCAACGACTTGCTATGCGTTGGCCCAACACTCCAGTAGGACTTGTACCTGCAGCTTCTAAAGTTCAGGCTTCATCGTTACGCCATCACTGCAGATGTGACCAAGATGTATAGGCAAGTAAATCTCGACATTATTGATCGCAAATACCAGTACATTCTTTGGAGAGCATTTCCAGAAGACACGCTGCACACGTATCAATTGAATACGGTAACCTACGGCACTGCAGCCGCCCCATTTTTGGCAACACGTAGCCTCAACCACCTCGCTGATGATCATCAAGCTGACTGTCCAATCGGCGCCGCTATCATAATCTTTCTATGTTGATGACCTACTCACGGGTGCAGACGACTTAGAGACGCTTCGCATTATCAAGGATCAAGTCACAGAAATTCTTCGTCGAGGGCATTTCCCACTCACCAAATGGCATTCCAACTACGTTGGATTCATGGAAGATCATGCATCCAAGAAGCTCAGTTCCTGTGGCGAGGGACTAGCCAGCGCTCTTGGAGTGAACTGGAACCAGCACAAGGATACACTGTTCTTCAAGTTCATACCAAGGAACAATGCAACGCGTATCACCAAAAGAAGTATTTTGTCCACCGCATCCGCCTTGTTCGACCCGCTTGGTTTGCTCTCACCGCTTGTTGTTGTCGCAAAAATACTTCTGCAAGAACTTTGGCTCGCTGGCCTGCAATGGGACGAGAGCGTTCCAGAAAACATACACACGGCCTGGAGCAAATGCCTAAAATCATTCCAAACAGTCTCAATTTTATCGATTCCCCGCTATTGCCTCCAACACAAGATGCGATCACTTCAACTTCATGGATTTTGTGACGCATCAATCAGGGCTTACGGCTGCTGCGTGTATCTACGCTCGGAAACGTCGACGGGAGACGTCGCAGTGCAGCTATTGACTGGCAAATCGAGAGTGGCTCCTGTGAAGAAAAAATCCCTTCCAAAACTGGAATTGTGTGGAGCGCATTTGCTGGGCCAACTGTATGCGAAATTGAAGCCTCTATTAGCAGACAGAAAAGTCTCGGTCTATTTCTGGACGGACTCGCAGACTGTGCTTCACTGGCTAAAACAGCACTCAGTCACACTGTCAGCATTCGTTGGAAACCGAATCTCCGAAATTCAAGAATGGACCGCAGATGGCCAGGGGAAATTTGTACCAGGTGAGAGCAATCCGGCGGACATAGTTTCGCGCGGAGCTGCTACAACTGAGCTGGCAGCATCGATGTGGTTCACAGGTCCACAGTTCTTGACCCAACCATCGTCCCAGTGGCCAACCACTCCGCAAATCATCGATATCGATCCAACTATTGTCAAAGCAGAGCAACGAAGGAGCACATTCACCACGGCTGTGATCAGCAATCATGTTCTCCAACAGCTGACTCACATCAGCTCATACACTCGCTGCATTCGAACCATCGCATACGTCTTTCGCTTCGCCAACTTATCAAGAGGAGTCAAAATTGTCAATCCATCGCTAACATCGGAAGAACTTCGCCGCGCATTGTTCAGCATCGTCTACAATATTCAGCAACAGTCGTTACTTGAAGATTTTCACTCGCTGCAGAAAGCTAAGCCGCTTACAAGTCACCTAAAGTATTTAACGCCTTTTCTCGACAGCTCATCAGGACATGCTCTTATAAGGGTTGGAGGACGATTACAGAACGCCGACATCCCTAAATCTGAAAGGCATCCGCTGCTACTGCCTAGCAAATCGCACTTTGCGTGGATTTATGTACGACACTTGCATCTGAGGAATTGTCACGCAGGCCCGAAAGCTCTAGTCGCGCTAATCCGTCTGGAATACTAGATCATTAACGCCAGGGACCTGGCTCGTCGAGTGGTGCGTTCCTGTATCGCCTGCGTTCGGTTCAGACCCAAACTGGAGAACCAACTCATGGGATCGCTACCACTAGAACGAGTGCTACCGCAACAGTGTGGCGTCGACTTCTGCGGACCGTTTAACATATATCTTCGCATTAGAGGAAAGGGTCCAACAAAGTCCTACCTCGCCGTCTTCATTTGTTTGGCATCCAAGGCCGTCCATATAGAAGTCGTCTCGGATTTGTCAACCAAGGCATTTCTTGCAGCACTTAAACGGATGATCGCCAGACGGTCAATTCCAACCGACATCTTCTGCGAACGCGGAACCAATTTCGTCGGAGCTGCCAACCATCTTCAAGAACTGCGAGCGTTCCTTCAAGACAAAGCCACGCAAGAAGTCATTTCGTCTTATTTGTCAACTGATTTCATAACTTTCCATTTCATTCCTCCTAGAGCTGCTCACTTTGGAGGCCTTTGGGAGGCGGCGGTAAAAAGCGCCAAGTCTACTCTACAGAACACTGATGAATTCAAGATTCACCTTCGAGGAGCTCTGCACCATAACCACTGAAGTCGAAGCGATTCTCAACTCGCGCCCATTGTCTCCGCTGTCTCCAGATCCCAACGACTTTGGGGCACTTACTCCGGGCCACTTCCTGGTGGGGAAATCTCTTCGTGCCCTTCCAGAACGGACTGTGTCATCAACACATGCGTCCAGCCTGGAACGATTCGACGCCGTGACCGCGAGCAAACAACAGTTTTGGCGAAGGTGGTCGCTTGAGTACCTACATGAACTACGGTCGCGCACCAAATGGACAACACCATCGGCCAACATCAGGGCTAACACCATGGTCATCATCCACGACGACAATCTGCCTCCTCAGCGATGGAAGATCGGGCGCGTCGAGACCGTTGTTCCCGGAAAGGATGGGCTAGTTCGAGTGGCCCACATTCGAACCAGCACTGGGGTGTGCTGCCGACCAGTGCATAAGCTGGCAGTATTACCCACGGATTCTCAATCTTGTTGAAAGATGATACTTTCAAGGCGGCCGGGATGTTCGGTCAAACTCACAATATTTTTCGTCTTACATACTGTTTCTCTTTGCCTATACAAATGTTAACAAAGCTCATTAACATGTATTAACCAATCTCTGTAACTTACTCTGTTAGAACATTATGTTATTTTGCCGGTGCTAATAAAAGGCAGTTGCTGATGTTAGATCTTGGAAAACGGTTGTCTTTTTCTCGCCTGAGTTTTTAGATTGCAATTAGTTTATGCACCCCCCAACCTGATATCTTATGCAGCATAAAAGACGCTTTGTGCATTAAACAATGTTATTTGATTTGGTAAGACTGTAATACAATTTCGGTTTTTGTTAAATTTTGACCATGTCTCCATCCACCGCCCATGCCGCATTAATACATTTAAAGGAAACGATTTCAAAAAAATGTATTTGTTAAAGAATAATTACTAGACCCTTGATCGCAAAAAAGAATTATCCGTGTCCCTGTAAACTTTTTATTAAAACGTTAGTTACACCCTAATATTTATTTTAAAGACGACATACCTGTAAGTGAAATCTTTTATTTACTCTACCCAAAATTCTTCTTCCATATTAAGTCCCAGAATTTCGATTTCATCTTCACCGGCTTCATCAACATCATTATTATTGTTTTCTTTAATTGTTCCTATTCTAGAGAGTTCGACCTCAGGAGATTCCATAAGAGTTATGACATCTTTTGGCAGACTTTTTTTGCGTGTTAAACTTTTTTTTCCCTGTAAATTGATTGTGGACAGCAGTGGGTCAGATGAATCTAATGCTCTGTTAAACACGTCTGTCATGGTATCTAACCGGCTGCATTTCCGTGCGTGTGAAAGTCTATCGCGTTTGTATAATTTGTGCACAGTTGGAGGCATTGGATACCAATTATATTTTTTCACGTATGAATTAAAAGTCTCGGTACAAAAGGCTTTGAATTTTACCGGACATATCTTATACTCACAAGATATGGCTATTAATATTGTATAAAAGTTTTTCAAAATCTTCAAGTCAAAGTTAAGAATTGTGGATAAAATTTCAGCATCTGCGAATGCTCTTCTTGCGGTATTTCCGTCGTTGCTATTTTCACTACCATTTTGTTTGGGATTGTCTACGTTAAGACCCATCTCATCCATAGTCTGCGTTGAATGTCCTGCTTTCGTAATGATACCACTTCTTTGTCAGATCCTGTGACTCGCCATTTCTTTAAAGAAATTCTGTACGACGCTTTTAAAACAAATTCCAGAAATCATATCCAAGCATGAAGAGGTCTTATTCCATATTTAAGATTTTCTGAAATAACTTGGAAGTTTTTCGAGTTGATCTCTTTCGTTTTCAAAAGCTGAGTTGGCTTAGCACCACATAATGGGCACGATTGGCATGAATTTGTACCAGTTAAAATATTCAAAACCTTACCATCGATTAAAGTCAGATTTGCGTTATAGTTTACCGCTATCTTTTTATTTCCGTAACACTAAGTGTGCTTTTTAAGATTTTGAGTTTGAAATTCCAAGTTTCTTTTTCCACTTAATATGAGATCAGTGGTTTCCAATTTTAGAGGCCGGCAAAATCTTACTGATTGTGGAGATCGATTGTACCAAATTATTCGATTTTGGTGGTTTATTAATTTCAAAGGAATTATTGCCGTCACAAACAGTAAATGATCCAAGCTAACAGGTTTATCCGTGTGAAATCGCTGCTTATAGACCTGTTGACCCATCGAACCCATAAGTGAAAATTAGTGTACAAGGCGATGTTAATGGATGAAAAATTACTTCTTTTTGCATTTCAAATAAACGTTCAGCCGTATGGTTTAATATAGCTTGCATCGATACTTTTGCCGTCGTTTCGGTATAAGTAATTTCAGCTGGCCTGCATTTCAATTTCATATCAGTAAGCTCCGAATACGGCGGATAGATATCGCATCCATGCTGCTTGCTAATGGCTTTTATATTAATATACTGCTGTTTTGTTGGCCTATTCTCAATTAAAAATGCTAAAGCCTCTTCTGCACTAATTTTCAAAACAACGTTTCGCTCGATTTTTTTTTCGTCAGCTATGTTTTTGCTATTTAATGCCTTTCGCAACAAAACTTGCGTATCTGCTTCTTTGTTTTTTTTTTGCCAGAATAGAAGCAGCAAGCAAAAGCATAGAATTTTCTTTTTCTTTCGCGAATTGAGATGCCAACTTATGCTTTAATCGTGGTCCTGCCTCAGTATAAGTTAGGCATTTGCGACCAGGTGTGTCACTTGGGGTGCCCTTTTCCAAAAAAAAGAAATTTTCATGATCGACGAAAGCCACAGGGAATGTTTTTCCTTGAATCGATCTATTATTCTATGACATTTTGGCAAATTACGACTAAGAAAGGCAAAAAACTGCTTAATTTTCTTTTTGACTATTGTGTCCTGACTATCGCTTAATTCCGATCACAGCGGATTGTTGCCGGTTGTTGTCGATCCAAACATTAAGCAATGTGTAGTGACAGAACTCGAATGCAACTACAACATGGAGGTTTTACGTAAAACGTGCAAAAAGTATTGATAGGCTTCGATTAACAATTGTTTTGTTTATAACTTCCAATTTTTACCTTGCCTATACTCACAAGTTACACACCACAGAAAGAAAAAAAAAATTTCTTATTTGTCATCTAAAAACTAAGCAACAACACATTGAACAAATGGACAAAAAAGCACATATAATAAACATTCAGTGCTTATAATTTATTTCACAAACCTTCACTCTTTGTATCCATATTTAAACTTTTTTGGGTTTTTTACAATAGCCAGAAAAATCGACGTGCAAAAACTACAAAGTTTCCCGTCCCTTTTTGAAAACGTGTGACCCTATTTTAAACTTTCGACTTTCTTAAGGGAAAAATAGGTAAAAACGCCAAATAAAATTCTTTGAAAATGGATTATGGGTTACTTTAAGTATTATAAATAATAAATATAAATAAAAAAAAATCTTTAAAAATATTCGTGTTAGACCGGTCATAAAAATAATCGATTACAAGAAAACCCCAATTAATTTAGATTGTTTAATGACACAAATACTTAGTGCACACTACCATCCTTTGAATTAATTCCAAAAACTCCACTTAAATTGCTTTAAGACTCTTTTTTTAGCAATTAAATAGTCCTAGCATTGCGTCAAATTTCTGAGTCGTGAAAATGCTACATACAGCAGCTGAACTAACAGCTGTAAGTTAGCAGAGGCGGCCTCTATTGAATTCCTGAAACGTAACATTGAAGATTGGTCTTCTGTTAGAGTATTCTAGAAAACACATTTTTAGTTTAACGACTTTAAAAAAATGGGTTTTGGCCAAAAAAAAAGTGGTCAAGTTCCCCATAGTGTAATCGTGTGACGAAGGCAAGTCCTCTAGAAATGTTATTGGGAAAAGTAGCACGGCCATTAGGATTACTTCCACCTTGTTACATAGAAAATGATGTAGATTTGTCGAACTTGAGAGCACAGACTAAAAAAAATATGTTAGTTACTGCAGTTTACAATAAAGAACGGTTTGATAAAAGTAAGGTAAAAGTACGCAGACACAATGTTGGAGATTTTCTTTTACTTAAAAACGAGGAAAGGCATCAAACCAAGCTGAGTCCAAAATTAAAGTCCTTAACTAGCAAACGAACTTACAAGTATGCTCACGAAGATTTAAGAATTTTACCAGATGGGGAAAGAGGAGCTTAATGTAAGCAATGATTATAATAATGTTGAAATCAAAAATGAAAATATTAATACTGACGAAGTTGTTGAAGAAAGTAAACTGCGCCAATAAGGGTAGAAAAAAAAAGATGTAGTACTGCTGGCCAAACGGAAATGGCAGAGTACTTGGATCGTGTAAATCAAGCTCAGAAATGAAATTTAAAACAAATATAAATAAATAAGAAAGTGGTTGTCGAAAGAGAATGTAAGGAAATGATAAAAAGATACAGTATCGTGGCCTGAGTTGACTAATGTTTGTTTTGATCATGGCGTGCGGTGCATTAGATATGAGAATGGATAAATTGAGTTAAACAATTTTTAAACCAATCGTTGTTTCTGTGAAATTGAAACATAATTCTTAAAGAACTGATTTGATAATGAAACTTAAACAGAATAATAATGTTTATGTTAGGATATTTTTTTAAGGAAATTGGTATCAATAAGCTTACATAAATTAAGAAAAGAATATTGGATTTCGTTGTGAAAATATTTGTTAAAGTTGTAGAAATAACAAGAAAAGAAGCTATATACCCTTGCAGATCATTCTATCAATTTACAAATCGCAAAAATGTTAAATTTCCTATTATTTCACATTACTATATGATATAGTAGTTCGATCTTTTTAAAATTAAAATCGAAATTTGAAAATATTTAAAAATAGTCATAACCCAGAGTAAAAGAGAATTTAATAAAAATCAACAAAGATATAATTTTTTTCCTAATAATTTCCATATAATTTTTCGACCGTTCCTATGGCAGCTATATTATATAGTGATCCTATTTTTTAAATATTTAATTTAAATTGAGAAATATATAAAAAATAATATTCCCAAAAGTAGAAAGTAATATTTGAAAAAACACCAAAGCTAGAATTTTTATACCCTTGCAGAGGGTATTATGATTTCAGTCAGAAGTTTGCAACGCAGTGAAGGAGACGTTTCCGACCCCATAAAGTATATATATTCTTGATCAGCATCACAAGACGAGTCGATCTAGCCATGTCCGTCTGTCCGTCTGTCCGTCTGTCCGTCTGTCCGTCTGTCCATCTGTCCGTCTGTCCGTCTGTCTGTTTCTACGCAAACTAGTCTCTCAGTTTTTGAGTTATCGGGACAAAACTTTCGCAAAAGTCTTCTTTCTATTGCAGGTAGTATATATGTCGGAGCCGACCGGATCGGACAACTATATCTTATAGCTCCCATAGGAACAATCGGAAAAAAAAAAACTTTAAAAAATTCTAGCTTCGGTGTTTTTTGAAATATTACCTTCTACTTTTG